TCCCAGACATGATGAGCAAGCGTTGTTTGTACTTTGCCTTCCACGGCATGTGTTCCGATACGGGTCATTGGATCGCACGGCATCTTACACGTGTTCATCAGGCTTTCAATCTACACATTACATTGGTTTTACCGCATTGCTCACTCTAGGATGACCCTCCACTGTGCCGAAGTGTGGCGTATGCTGGCGCCCCAAATAACCAACAAGACAGCACCGATGCCGACTATGCCAGCGAAGACCCCAGCCAGGGTACCGAAAGCTCGGACAAAACCCGCCTCTTCAGCCCAAGGGATCACACCGAAGAGGAAGCCAAATGCCACGATGTTCTTCAGCCCGTTCACAAGCAGCAGTACGTCCGAGTTGACTGGGAATGCGCAGTCGCTCACATACGCTATAGTGATCGTTGGCATGGCCGTGAGCGCTATCGAGATCATGCCGTACCCGAAAAAGAGCGAAACCCACGACAAGGCGTTCTGAACACCGTAGCCGAACACAAGGCAGCCTGCTGTTGTGATCACCAACGGAATGCCCACCAGGTATAGTCGGGTTTCCGGCTCGTAGATTCCGAGCATTTTCCTTGTTCGCCACCTACACCACATGTCCACGAGATCACCTGCATTCAGTCAGCACGTTTCCTGGCCGCGTTGCTCAATTGTGACTTACCTCCTGCCCAAGCCCCGATGAGATTGCCCAAGAGGCCTGGGATATTGATCAGGCCGTTGATCTGTGGGCTCCAATTGTACGGAGGTGCTTGCAGCACGAACGGATTAAGAATGTTGACCGCGATGGTAATGACCAGGGATATGGAGTAGCAGAGAAACGCGTATATAACCGCGGGGTACACAACCATCGGCCACGGTCTGCTAGACGTTAGTATCAAGTTCCCACCGAGCTGGACTATTACATACCGTAGAAACAGCTTCACCAAACTCGTCTCGGAGACACCACTCCATAGGCTCAGCTCCTGTCTCCACGTGTTCTTCACCTCCTGGTGTAAGATACGATTGCTCGACTTTGGCCGGAGATGTTTCTCGTCTGCCATGACAATCTTATCGTTCGAAGGGCAGATGGCCACACCAGCGCCTTTGATATACTCACGCGTGTATCGAGTCTCAGGGACTAAGAGCAGTATCGTGAGAAAGTTGAGTGCGGTCAGAATTGCAGCAATCCACTTGTGCCATCGCCAGCTGAGGTTGGTCGCAATGAAGCCGCAGACCAATGGTCCCACCGTATTACCACCTGCTATCGCGTTCCTGACGCACAGTCAGCGTACTGAAACGGGCCAATAGGGAGGGGATATATGCTCACATATAGAGACCCATCTTGCTGCCTCGTTCATGCAGGAAGAACAGGTCCTGGGAGAATTCAGTCAGCTCGTCGGTCAAGATCGCTAAAACTATGGTCCACGAATGGGGGTTGGATACGAGGATGTAGTACAGGATTACTCACATTGACTATTGCAGCACCCAGAGCTTCTGTAGAAGAACCTGCGAACGCAGCGACAATGTTACTCCACAAAAGGCTCTTGAACGAATTCGCCATGGCGCCCCAGACGCAGCATGCGCACAGCAGGGCACTGGCGAATACGAAAACCGGTCGTTTCCCGAAATGATTGGCCATTGGTACCCAGAAGAAATTGAACACGCCCAAGACCAAGACGGGGTACAAGAGTAGATGCGCTGTCTCGTCCATCGGCTTATCAAACTCGAGCGAGAGAATATGGAACGCTGGCGCTAAGCCTGCGATAGAATAGTTTGTCAGGAAAGTAAAGGCGCACACCGAAGCGAATGCGACATGTTTCTTCCATCGTGGCCAGCGGAGAGGGTCGTTCGGGTCGGTCGGCGAGGGCTGTGGGAAGAGGACGATGTCTACTGGTGCACTTTCACTATACCCAGCTGCAGGCGCCGAATTAGCTCCGCCTTCAAACGGACAAAGACGAGCATCACCATACCTTGTTGCAACACCACCGTACCGTCGGTGCGATCCAAAGCCCTCAGGCTGGTGAAATGGAAGCCCATCATGATGTCAAGAGCCTTGGAACCAGCAGGAATCTCGACCTTGGGATCCTTTACTTCGGGTAGGAAACTGCCACTCAGAACCAGGACCAAGTAGGTGCGTCGCTATCGCTTTTAGTCTCGTCTTTCATGGGCGACATGGGGAGCACCCAGCGGAAGGTAAACATTGTTGACATGTGGTCGGACGCATGCTATGTAGGGCTTACGGAGTTCCGTGCAAGGCAAGATTACAGGTGCAGACTAGTCAACCAGGAAACTTTCCAAGGTTCTCACGCGCAGCAGGCGCCAGATTTGTTGATATACACATGCGGTCGTGTCTGCATGCTTGCTTATTTGGTTGGCTGAATGGAGATGGCTAATATGGGTATGGGGTCTGTCTGGTGCTGACATGCTGGAAGTTCATGCAGTGCCGGGACATGCGGGGCCGGTCGAGATCCCGTGCCCACCATGATCGACGGCCAGACTCGATTCTGAAGGCCCTTCTCTACAAAAGAAACCTTCAAGTGCCATGGGAGATGCCGGAGTGAAAGGCAGTAGCGTATATTCGTGCTTCGACTGCCGACTGCCACGATCCCGTTGCGTGGATCAGTCGATGGCAATGTGAATGTCGATTATGGTGTCAACAACCAACTTTGGCAGCCGTGCCAGTCCTTGTCGTACACACGATCGGTGGTAATCACGACTTTGTGAGATTGCGTCGCCATGCGCTCATCTCTTTGCTTTGTCAACCTGTCAGCGCCCTCAATCGCTGCGCCTGTCCCTCATGAGACGACCTTGGAACGAGTCAAACATTCTCCATGTTACCTACCGCGGATGGAGATTCCCCGAGGTCTGAGCCAAGGCATCTCCACCACGCGACGAGAGGAGGCTTGCGTCATGTCGGAGAGTTATCGATCACCTTAGTGACGCTCAAGAAGCCGTGCATCTTTGTTGTTGCGGCGCCATCCCGTCCCGTCTCGCTAATCTTCGCGCCAAGCCTACCAGCGTCAAGGCCGCGGGGGACTCGACCTTGGAACCACAACTTCAACTCTCCACCCAAGTATTCCGACTAGCACACCACAGTGGATTGACTCGGCTTCTACCGCTCACGTTATCAAATCACGTTGCTAAGGTGGTGGTCGCGCGGCCAGTGCTCAGACGCTCGACGATACGGATGGAAGCCGAGCTATGCTTCCCGAATGCAACGTTGGACACATCGCAGAACATGACACGGAGGGGCAGTTGAGATGGATCGTATGGCGAGTGATCGATTTCAGTGTGAAAGGTTTCCTTCTCTGATGACGCTGACGTTCGCATCTAAGGCTTTATCTGACGCGACAGCTCGTTTTTCCTTACGCCACAACGTCTCGGATTGCGCGCCCAGTCGTCATGAAGCTGTAAATGTATCTTCGTCATATCGTCCTCTTCAGATTGCGACACGAATCATGTGCGGTCTTTTCTTCTTCCCTCGAACAATGGAGGGTCTCAGAATGAACATGTAGTTACGTTTCAATGACGCCGTACGACAAGAACGAGATCCAATACAATACCCCACGGCCATGTCTACGACCGCACAAATGAGTCCGAGTGACACGACTTCTTTGCTAGCTGAATTGGGTGGATATACTGCATTTGTTCCGATTCCCCATGGCACCCGTCAAGAGGATCAGCAGAGCCATCAACGCGCGCTGCAAAGCATACCGCATGCGCAGGCATATTTGCAGCGTTTTAGAGCGTTTCTCGACAGACGCCATCGCATGCTGACAAGACAGTGCTTCCTTGCACCTTTGCTTTTCGCCCATGAACCCTGCCCATCGGGTCCACGGTGACGCCTTGCGTTGCACGGCGTGGCGCCTATTGGACCAAGCACATATCGCATTCCCGCTAAACAGCCAAAGAGACGCGGAGATCTTACTGCTACTGCACGTTCATCGACCGAAGATCAATAGAGTACAGCGCTGTCGAATCCGCGGATGCGGCGCAACGTGACGCTTGATCCTAGCTTACACCAAATCTCTCTATCGGAGTGTATCCCCGCCACCGCCAAAGCATGGTGACTTGTTTGGATTAGACTTATAACCTGATAACCACCCTGTCTCACCGCTTGGCCCCGGTACCCTGGACTCGCACCAGTATATATCGTCTACGGACCCTGACTCTTACCAAAGTTTCTTCGCATCATAGGCCCAACACCTCCCTTTCCTCACGCTATCACTCCTCACCATTTCCAACACTGAAACATAGCCGCTATATGGCTACATCGACCGTGGCCAGACCCGCGCCCCAGAACTCTCCAGCCCTAGCAAGAAACCCATCACCTTTCATGGATCCCCGACCACCACCAGGAAATCCAGCGACGACTGCGGAGATGTGGGATAGGTATGAGAGGCAAGCTGTGGAGACGGCCAGAACGAGAGAGAGGACTATGCAGCCACCACAGCCCCACCGCATAGTGATTCCAATCAAGGACAAGAGGCATAGACCAAACGACGTTTCACCGACAATACCAAGCTTCGACTTCAGAAGACGTGGCCACACAACAACGGTCTCGACTACACTAGCTACCTGCAAGACCTGTACACTTCCTATCACCTATGTCTCTGGAGTTTGCGAAAGTTGTACAAGAACCATCATCTTGCCATCTTCCAGCGGCGAAACCACTCCGCCTATCAGTCCAGCCTCTCGGAACTTCGCCTCTACTGACCTTATTAAATTGCGCAAGAACTCATATGGTGAAGATGTCAACATCCGAACATCAACAACATCATCGCGACGAACGTCGTACTGTCCACTACCAGCGCACCTTGCAGACCCCTCATTCCGGCTGTCCACACTCCAGCCACCCCCCGAACTGGACGCCTTCTCAAACGACCCCATACGAAACAGAAGAAAGACATCTCTCACAGACCCCAACGAGCCATTCCTCCGTTTACAAATCGCGCAACAAGCACCTTTACCCCGGTCTACAATGAACTCACCACCCATAACCCCTACATCACCACCGCCATGGGCAACCCATTCTCGCTCTTCCACGCGACGCTCCAGTCTAGCAAACGCGGCAATACTGCCAAAGCCCGCCTACCCACACGCGCGCACCGACAGTGTAGCTTTATCAGAATACAGCACCCTCTGCCCCATCCAAACCACACTAACAACAAAACTGGACAACACAACCAGCGCCTGGGACGACTGGGACAGCGACAACGATGACGCCGATAGAGCGGGTCTCGCGAGCTGGATGGGCCGGCGCAAAACCAAGGGTCGAGGTAGTGGGCCCAGGGAAGGCAAAGGCAGTATGGACAGCACCGAGAGCGACAACGACGCCACGAGGCCCAGTCTGTGTCTGAGAGAGACACCCAAGAAGGCAAAGAAGAGCATGAACATTAGTAAAGAAGATCAAGGTTTGGAGCGCGCTAGGATTGAAGCTGCGGAGAATGCGAGGGCAAGGCGGCGGGACGCGGAACAGAAGCTGGCGAAGAAGAAACCGAGTGGGTTTATCAGGGCGATTACCTGTGGGAAGAGCGATACTGATGGGTAAGTTTGTTTACGCGGTTACTGCGTTCCTTGCGTTTTGGTTTGAGCAAGGTGTTTATGATGGGCGATATTTTTAAGGATGATACCACGCAAAAAGGTTGGACAGGTGTTTCGGTATTGGGGTTCTATGGTATACATGTTTTACGACTATATAGGCGATTCAGCTGTCTTAACTCATAACGTATAATATATTATTCAGACGAAGTTCATGTTCATTCGCTGTCACTTGCGTTGTTGTTGCTTTCGCGATCTCACTCAGCGATACATTACTTCTCCCAATAACAGCGCGGAAGTATCATCACAAACACATCCACCCCATTCATCCCAACAATCCCAACCCCATACTCGAAGCCAACACACACACCCTCCACCGCTAAACGCCCTCCTGCACATTCCCGCACCCGCATCCGCATACCTTCCTACTTCCCTCCCTGCTACCGAAGTCGCATACACCCAACCGCGCACTCCACCCGGTAAGAGGTGAGAATGCGGGTAGGCGAGCGGTGACCCCATCGCTAGTCTTCACAGGGTCGTTGGCCGAAAAGCCCGCGTAGGGTGTGGTAGGGGTAAGCGAGGATGCTGTGGGAGGCGGTGATGTGGGCTGGGTACGACTGACGAGGCCGATGGATGTGTTGAGGTGGGGTGGGGGGTTTAGAGGTCTGGTCGTGTGGTGGAAGGTGAGTAGGGGGGTATTTGGCAGTGGGGTGAACCAGATGGTGGAGTGGATTGCGAGGTGTTGCGACTGAGTGCGAGTATGACAGTGCAAGACATTATCATGGCCCTGCTACAACCTCATCCACACTACTCATCACCATCATCAAACCCCTTCTACCAACTCCCTAACACCACCTACCACCCTCCCACGCAATGTAAAACCCATGTATCAATGTCGCACAATCGCTCGCCTCGACCGAGGTCGTGGACATCTGATCAAGCTGGTGGTATGTGAAATGCGGATGTCGTGGCTACGCTTTGTGCTGCAAAGCATCGGTGAGGTCACCATACTGAATTAGACGCTCCGTTGTGTAACGTGTTGCGGGGCTGAGCGGTTGTAGGCGAGCGTTACACCAAGGGGGCGGGTGGGCGGTCTGGGCTTCTGAGGTTTGGGGTTGTTTGTACGTGTGTGCGTGCGCTGTGTAGGTTTGAGACCTGGGTGATGTGTATGTGGTTAAGAGTGTGCGCGGTATTTGGGTGTTAGTGGTAAGTTGGCGCTGAGGTAAATGATGGTTTTGCGCAAGACGGTAGATGGCTGGACAGGCTGCGATATCGCAACTTCGAGATGGTAGTATGCGCTCTCGCATCACAAGTGGCGGTGTGGAGGCACGATAGGCGTTGGCCACGTCTAACAACTCGTCGCACAGTGGCGGACGCACCTACAATCGCTTTGAGCTTGTCGGTGCACATGTCAGCTGCCAGTTAGCAGGGCGAAGATGTCAGTTGTTTCGGATATACCGCCTTGACCTTGGCTTCTAGAAATCTTGACTGAGCCCAGTACGGGATATGCTTTCGACGACAAATTACAAGTGTTGATGGAAGGGCCAGCTGCATGTTTCTGTTTTCTTCATCTCCTGGCATGCGAAGACGGCTAAGTCCGCGCTGTAGAGTTTCGAGGTTCAAATGTCGTTCTTGGCCGCGTGCGACATGTCGAAGTTAAAGTTTGATCACACTTCAATCTCCATATGGTTTGATAGGTTGACAGCGGGAGAAAAGAAGTCATCCAAAGCTGTTGTCAACTCATTCAGTGACAGGCGAGGGTTGGAAGTTGCGAGTAAGTCGACTGAGATTGTGTAGCTTCGCACGAGCGGGTAAAGTGAAGGTTGGAGGTCTCGGGCGGACCGAATGTGACTAACAATTAACAGTTACCAAAATCGTCTTCGGTTCTGCACTCCCTAGTCATGACTATGATATTAGCAGTAGGAGAATGCGAGGACCACGTGATGCTGACCGTTGGGTTTTGGGTTGAATTACCACGCCGGCATCCGATCACTTGGCCCAAGGTACTGCACATAGTTACTCCTTTCCAAATGAGAAGACGTCATAGTCCACAATCGATACGAGTCGGATACCACGAGGTCCGAAATTTCGACGAGACAGAAGTTGCGGTGGTGTTGGCAAGCTCATGCAAGCTCAAAACTAGCAGCAAGCCTTTCAATAGTTTGGGGCCCATCACCGACGGGCTGCTGGCTACTTCAACCGATGCTGCCGCGGGTAGAAAGGTACCTGAACTACCGACAAACACCACAGGGCTTGCGGGAATAATGGCGCAGTGCGATGAAAGCTCGAAGCGTGAAGTCAAGGAAGCATGAAGCTGTTTGAGACGTTCTAAATCGGTACAACTGCCCAACTTAGCCCTGCAGTATGTTTTGATGAGCTGTTACAGATCACGAACAAAAGAAATCGCTGAGCGCAAACATGTCAGAAGTCAAGTCGGGTGTCGGCACACAATCGGGAATTTGTGAAAAGAAGGGTGGGCGACGAGCATGAAGGTCGTGGCGGTGCTGGACGCGGTGGTTGGCGCGGGGTGGCTGCACGCCTTGGTGAAAGTTAAGGCGGTCGGTCAAATCTCCATCCATCGGTGTTGTTCCGGCATTGGCAGTCAGCAAAAGGCGCGACGCCTGAAGCATGGTAGATGCGATGGAATTGGCACGGTGGCGTGAGCGTCTCTCGTGATCTGCCACGAGGTAATTTCCTTACGAACTGCTCATTAATCGATACGCGGACGGGCCATAGATAGAACTGATCGTCTTGCATCATCGTTGCCTGTCGTTGCTTGTAACCGACCGCGCGGATGTCACCAAAGCTTGTCGCTTCGTGTCGGGTCCGGAGAACGCGGCACTGGTGATAGTGATGGCCCACCTTGTGGGCTAGAAGGATGGCCGGTGTGTGTGGGAATACGGGAGCGGCCAGGGTCTGAGAAGGCCCGCCGGAAACTATGGAAGCGGTGTCTGTGAGGGCGGCGTCAGCAGCGTGAGATTGTTTGTTGACTGCTTGAGCGCTGCTCGGGGCAGGGTTTTCTTTGATGCAACACGCAGGTGTGTGTCTTGGTGTTGCCAGTGTGTTGGTCAAACCTCACCCCCCTGACGAAGGTTATGATGCTGTCAGCCCTGGAGGCTAGCCGGATCAGGCGGATCTGTGGGGTCGCTTGTTACCGCATCGGGCCAGATGGCTGCCAGGCGAGCCGTGGGCGCAATCTCTTCGACGCCAGCTGGCCAGCTCCTGAAGCTTATCTGGCGTTAGCGAAGGCTTGAGTTCTTCCGTCTGCTTGGTGACAGCGCGACAACGTTGTCAGAACGATCCTGCGTTGGCGGGTTAGGCCCTGAGTTCTGCGTGCCTTATCAATAGCGCCGCTGTTGCGTTCCACCTTTTACGAGGGCACAGGTGGACGTCGAGCACCACCCTCCCCACCGCATCGTCGGATCAGGCTCAGCGCATGCCGCTTGCCGTGCTCCCCTCTCGTCGTGTAATGCGAACCAATCCCTGCGCCCAGAAATAGAAGCTCGACGAGGCCAATCCCCGCGATGATCTTACCGCACAGTGCTCGCATTGGCTGCGCTAGGGTGGAGATTGCCGCTCGTGCCCCTTAGGGCTGTCCTGAGCAATACCGTTATTGGTCGATGCGTCCAATGTGTGCCTGAATTTTCCTTTTCCAGTCGCAAAAGGCCGACGCGATGACTAGCATGGCTGAACGTCCTTCGTATACGCGGCATCGTCGTAGGTACTTGAATCTGGGCGCGCCCGCTGCTATCCTCCTCACCTCCATCGCTGTAGGCGCATCTCAAGTACCTGCCTTCAGCACTTCATTCTTTACCACCTCTCGGCCGCTGTCACTCGTTTCCAGCTGCCTTGACCCCATACAGCAAACCTCTAGTAATACTTAATTTGTTTTCGCTAGGTACGTACTTTCCTTGTGTTTTCGCTACCGCGCGGGGCTCCGCAGCCGCTTCCCAAAATACGTTGTTCTGCATGCTGGTGTTAGCCTTCTTTTTCGCTACACCAACCTCGCCATGCGACGACGTCCTACCCGCCCGCCAAAAACCAACTCCATAACCGTTGTGCCGCCGCCCCTGGATCTTCAATGCTATTCATCACCTACTTATACCCCTGCTATCCTCATTCTACAACGACATCGCGGATGACTACCCGGCCACATCTGTCGGCTTACACACTCTTTCTACCACACTCGTTTCTAACACCCTGCCTAGGTGAACCCTCATAATGAAGGCTTCTCTCTTCGGCCTCGGCGTCCTCGCCGGCCTGGCCAGCGCAAACATCAACTTCCTCTGGGTCAACCCCACGTGCGACCACCTAGACCCCAACACCCTCTGCCTGACTGGCCAGCACTGCGACGAAACCGACTGCTGCGTACCTGACCTGAAGAGCGAGTACTCCAAGCTCGTCTCACGCTCATCGCGCTCATCTCTTCGCGTTGTTCCCGCCAAGAGACAGGCTGCCAAGTACTCTCAGGACGGAAAGTGCGGCCCTGCTAACGGCAACCTCCTCTGCGACCCCAACAGCACTGTCTACAAGGGCACATGCTGCTCGCAGTACGGCTGGTGTGGAAGTACCGCCGCTCACTGCACACAGGGCTGCCTGTCTGGCTGTGACAACGGTGCCTCCGCGCCCGCTCCCCAGCCTAGCAAGGCTACCACTTCAGGTGCTGCTAAGCCCAGGGACGACGGCAGGTGCGGAAAGGACTTTGGTGGCGCTACATGCGATGCCAACGGTGCTTACGGCGGCTGCTGCTCGTCTTACGGATACTGCGGTTCCACTGACGGTCACTGTCTCGCTGCCAACGGATGTCAGAACGGATGCAAGGGCGCCACTGCTACTCAACCCGTCAAGGGCAACCCAGCCCCTGTCAGCAGCCGTCCTCCCTCTACCACCACCTCCGGCGAGCCAGTTCTTGGTAAGCCCTCGACTGCTCCCGCTTCCAAGCCCACCGGCGTCGCCACTACTGATGGCAGCTGCGGTGCCAAGTTCGGTAACACTGTCTGCGGTAACTGG